CCATTTTATCTTTCAGCCCCTCTGAAAATGTTGAAAGCTGGTTTCCGTTACGATTTTTGCTCTCTACGCGGAAAGTCAAGGCGTTGCTCTAATCTATGGTTTCTCAGGAGTTTTACTGCGATCACGTTTCTGGCTTATCAACTCTATCAAAACTTTGATATCAAGTGATTTTCGGGCGAACCGTACACATGAGAACGTTCCACATGAAGTAGCGTATAGTTTTTTGGGTAGTTTTTCTACTCAGATACGATACTGATCGCCACAAGATGTTCACAAGGTACGACGCTAATTTGCACGAGTGTTCATTTTTAATTTCTATTAATTGGAAAACTGAACTAGTAAAGTACTCACAATATGTACATGGCGACACCAAGGGACCACATGTCGCAGGATTTGTCATATCGTTCACGACTGAGCACCTCAGGAGGTCTGAAATGCTTGATGTATGTAGGGCAGCTGAAGTGAGCTGGAGCTGGATGTCCATGTTGCGGCGACGCCCAGTCGTCGCCAAAACGTGGATTTTCCAACGGACAACAATTAGAATTTATAGTACTGACGCGTAAAATGGAGTACAGCAAGGCGATTCCATCAGAACATTCCGTTCAGGACGCTTGGCAAACCCGTAATCTCCAAGTTTGTATATACAATCGTCACCCGTAGAGCTAAAATTCTCTGCATTAGTGACTTATCTCACAGACGTCAGAGCAGGAAAAGCTGACTGGTAGCGCACCTGCACAGAATATTTTCCAGCTTGATATCCCGATGTGCTATGTTCATGTCGTGGAGGTATTGTACTGCCGACCCGATCTGGCGTATAATTTCCCCGACTTCTGAAAGTTCTCCGTATTGAATGCAGTATTGCAGGCATTATGGCTACACACTGCCGATGCGTAAATATTTTTGTAACTGCTACGGAATGGATTGGACTTTGTCCCATGTCCTTGGCGCTAGTGCATGGGGGTGTAAGTTGTGTCTAGAACTCAACCATCTGGCAGGTGACGTGAGCTTGGTACAAGCGATCACGCTGTTGGTTCTCGGGTTCTAAAAGGGCACTCCGGAGAATCAGAATAGTACAAGATAGAACAAGGGGCATGAGCCGCCACTATCTGCTGAAAGCCTTTGCAGTTACTTACAACGTAGCCAAGGAAACTCAAAAGTACCAGGAAATTTGGACCATTATCCCCGAGTAATCCTCTTTAAGGGGTGTCCTATCTGAGGTCGCTGGGAAGGAGTACCGTATTTGACCACCCGACGGGTCTATAGTCATTTTGCAGAAGCTAGAGCGTGTCAGGTTGAGGGGGTGCCAACGCGTTCTCTTCCAAATGTGTTCTTTACCCACTTCAAGAAACTGGTGCAGAACGGGCTGGCCCGTGCCAAACCCAGATCCCCAGCTTCTACAGCGGAATGGACTGTATTCATTCGGAAAAGGTGTGGATTGGAAAACAATAGTTTATGCTATCACCACTCCCAACTCTGCCCTCGGAGTTTTTGTTTATAGAAGGGAAACTAGAGGTAAATGTAGGTGAAGCCGAACTTTGGGAGAAAGGGCTACACCGGTGGACAAGGCCCGCTAAGGACCAAATATTGGCCAAGAAAACGTTCCTGAGGGAAGCAATAGGGAGTTGTATGGAAACCAAAGACGACCACTATTCGAGTTTTCTCTGTTTTTCCTGGGGAAAGTGGATGTGAATAAGGGAGCGTGAAGTTAAACATTCGGGTCGAGGGTCATATCGGTGAAGGATTTCCTGTTGAATGGCAATTCCCTCTCGCCGTGATTTACCTTCTTGGGAGAGAGGCAAGGGTGAGCTGTATAGAGCGCAATTTGACCAGGATCCAGCACGTTACGATTTTTTTGGGTGCTAGTAGTCATAAAAATAAAAAACTTACTTTTCTCGGGATATGGTTTGCTGCCCTGGCTCTCAAATTGACTTAATAGATCACCGCCTTCAAGAAATTCGACGACCATTAGAAGACATTTCACTCCGTCAAAAGTGTTCTCATAGATGTCGATAATTGTCACGACATTTTCATGAGCGCTAAATCAGAAAAATTCAGTTGTTTGAAGCTGTTTTATTATGATAACTGCTGTTCGACGCCACAGTACGCGTTCCGAAATTCAGTTGTTTCAGCTAGCACGACCCCCGCTTTCACTTCTCAACAACATCGGCTTGGTATCAGAGAGCGGAGGTCTGCTACGGCAACTGTCAACAACAATCGGTTCGCTAGACAAGCAACGCGCTGAAGGTTGTTGTTTTTCGTCTGATCAGGTTGATGCCTTGGTTAAGCATCAATGATCTCTGAAGGACAAACCTGGGAAAAGCTTAGACCATAAAAAGCGCCGTGGCTGAAGGCGCCATAACCCACATCGCGAAGGGTCCAAAGCCGTCTGAGTGCTCTTTTACATTTACTTGTGCTCGAAAGTTGCAAGTTGTGCTGTATACAGACGAAAACGTCGGGGACCGTTAGGACACGACGCAGTGGGACCCCCTTCCACTGGGTTTAGGTGGCGCCACGAGAGGAGGAGTCCTACTAAGTGGAAGAGATTCTGGAGGGGTCGCACTTTCCAAAAGGTTTCCCAAGGCATCACAAACAGACAAACCTATCCCTCCACGTCAACCTAGAGATGACTCCTCACCCTCACCTTGACGAGTTCTCCCAATGCACCCAGGGCGAAATACACCCAGCCATTAGGTAGGACTGTAAACCGACTGGCCACTCTAATCCTCTTCTAGCCATGCAACTGCTTCTACGAATTCGTAGAAGACGAGTGCATGGCGTATTCCAAATTGAATTCTTTACCAACGATTAGCCTTCGATGGAAGCAGCGGAGGCCATGCCCTAATAGAAATTTGTTCTCGAGCGAGCAAAAAATATTATTGCCAGGTTTAGTCAAGGCTGTGTCCTCTCGGTTAATCGACTATGCTCTCATCCCGCCTTTGGTAGTTCCATCAGGAGCCCAGTCCACACTGCTCGTGTGGGCGGAGTCAGACCTACGTCTGTGCACTATTGGCGCATCCCTCCACTTCATTTCATCGAAAAGGAGAAGCGCGCCAATGAGGAAGTCACGACGGTAGGTCTGACTCCACCCACAGAACTAGCGCGGACTGCGCCTTTTTGGGTGCAGCAACCCTGAAAGCTACTCCCAAAAGTGATGGTTTTTCTTTATTTTAACGCCATTTTTTCACTGTTTCGATGCTCATCGAACAGTGGGTCATTCATAGAAAAGAAATTAGCAAATTCTTACTTAGTAAGGTAGTGAAGGCTAACTTCACGACGAGCTTTCGGTCCGTCACGTAATACTTTCAGAGCGTACTTCTCGTTAGTATACTTATTATAGCAAGCCATCACCTTTCCTGATTCTCCAATTCCAATGATCTGAAAAGGAATCAGTAGAGCGACATTCAGAGCGAGAAGCTGGGATGTTATCCTACC